AAAACAACTAGCAAAACTATTCTCACTAGCAACCAACACAGAACACAACTAACAATCTCGACAAGTTGCGAGCACCACCAACAAAACAACTTGGAGCACTGCAGTTGCCGCACAGTAAGAGTGGAACAGTGGAGCCGGAGAAACCTATCGACACATTCTGGAACAAAACGACACCAAAAACCCATGGGGAGGTTTTCACCTGTAAATCCTAGTACGGTAGGAGAAGAGGTACAAAGACGACACCTCCGAGGAGGAAGCGACGACCACAAACATTGTCGTTTAGGGTTTCTCCCTAGACTCAAGCAACCCACTCTCCGTTTCCCACCAGAGCCCCCCTCCTAGCTTGGGTGTAGGGGATACCTATCCCAAAGAAAAGTGTTAGTGATGGCACACAGATGTTCCCACAAACACTAGACGCCACCACGTACAAATGGCGTCCTCGCCATACACGCAGTCACAGGAAGACCACCAAGGGGATGAGATACAGAGAGGCGAGCGGGCCAGTAGCAATGCTGACCTACCGCCCTGAGAAGTCACGACGTGAAGGCCACCTACCTCCCCGGGGAAGGACCGAAGCCTTGAGCCTGCCAAATGGAGCCCCAACAGCCATCGTTGGCCTTTTCCATAGGCGGACAGTCATTATTGGGACGCCGCCCTCCACCTGTTGGGCAACACCATGCAAATGAACCCACCACCAGGGACGGATCCAACGTGAGTGCAAGAGGTGCTCGAGCACCCTCGTACTCCATATGAGCAAGTGGGCCCCAATAGCCTCCCCTTAATTTTTTCTGCCATTAATTGAAGTTTGGGGTGCTGGAGATTGAAGAGAGGTGCTGGAGGTTGAAGGAGTTGTTGGTCTAGTATCATGTATGTGCAGCTAACCCTAATATGTTTCTCTGGATCCGCCCTGCCCACCACCAACATCAGGAGGCTAGATCCGGCTGCAGAACTGATTAATCTAGCCATGAACTAGGCAGATCAGGCCACCTTGGAGCCAACGTGGCCACCACCACAGGGAGCCAAGAACATGGACCGATTACTACAAACGCGAGAAAGCGAGGAGGAGGAGAAAAGGAAGCCTCTACACCATCATAATCAGCGTTGCCCGCGCCCCTAGCAGTCGGCTTTGGTGGCGACAAGATACATAGAGGACAGTGGGGGAGGGCAATGGCACGGGCGCGTCGAGTCTGCTCGAGCACTGGCGGAGCTTAGTTAGGGCCATAATGGACCATGCCTCCCTCCCCCTAATATTGCTAAGTTATATGTGAAGGATTAGATTTTAGGCTAAACCGCTAAACTAGACCAAAGAATTACCGTTATTTCTCTCGTGGTTCATACACAATTAAGGCTGGCCCTGCTGAAAATTGGGTTAAGCTCCAGCACTGCGCTCGAGTCGCCCAAGAGGACGAGAGGAGGACGGGGACACCCATGAGAATTAAATTTGTTATATCCAAATAAGACAACGAGTTTTGTTACAAATATATACACCACGAAATGGTGCCCACGTAAACGGACATGCCCGTTTGCACTTTGTTCTATGCATTGGATGAGATCATCAATGAAGATTTAATTTTAACACTTGATCGAATCTAGTATTGACATCAATCATTTGCTTATGATCCTTAAAAAATGTATAGGGAAATATGATGTAATGCTATGAGAGCCTATTTAATCTACCTAATAATCCGAGTATCACTCTTGAGTCTTCACTCACTTTAATAAACTAACCGTCGTAGGATGTGTGAACGTCGGTTGTAGGAACGGAAAATGCCCATTCGCTCTCTCTTCTATGCTTTGTATGATATTCAGCCCACGAGAATTTATATTTTCAGAAGGCAGCGACGACTTTCAACCAAGAGAAAAATATATTATTTTCAGAAGGCAGTCAATGTACAGTAGCAGATCGTCGAACACTACCAAGGTTCTGAGGTAGTGAGGTTCAACGATCGTAATCCAAGTGCAATGTAAGCGGAAATATCGCTTTGAAAATATCAGAACAGCAATTATCATATCCTCTGACGTGTACTTATTAATTTCATCATCAGTACCAGCCTACATAATTTCGATTCGGGTCGAGTTTAATGGAACGGGATCATCAAGTTACTGTATAATCCAGGCCAGAAGCCCATAACCCATACCAACATATTATATCCCATCTATTTGACTATATTTTCCTGTCCCATTCGAACAACATATCCAAACGCAGTCTCACCACATTCGACATTAAACACCCTCCACATATGCTCGGCAAAGAGTCGAAGACTTCGGGCATAGGCAGCATATGCTCGAGTAGTTCTATGGTGTACACACTTTCCACATCATAATCCCAAAACAAAAATCACCATGACTTGATTTACAAATTGTCACAACCTGCACGTTGTCTCGGGCTTCAAAAGTGATGTAGACAGATTAATATCAGAGACCACACAGATTATGGACCCAACAAAAACCATTTGTAGGCATGATGAATAGAAATGAGAACAATGCATTTGTCAAATGCGTGACTTGCAAAGATGAATAAAACCAAAAGTGCAACACGACAACCCACATGAAAAGATAGCACATAAAGGCATATACACATACACGAAGTTTCCTGAAGGTAATCTGTCAGCTTGCACTGGCCAGACAAACATATAAAGGCATATACACATCTCACATACACGAAGTTTCCACCCAGCATGCCACATGATCTAAATTACCAGATAGTAGCTACAGGACCAACTAAGTGATCTGACGACCAACTCTGCCCCAACCATTAGAAGCAGAACAAAATACTTTTAACATACTAGGACAGTGAATTTACAAGTAGTAAAAGACAAACCTCATTTCCTAAATCATAAATAAATAGGTTGGCAATTCACCAACTCTGCAAACCATGAAGCAATTCCAACCACAAACAATGAGAAACAGAGGCGTAGCAATTCCATGCTTAAACACTTCCTCTGTCACGCATTGTACTAAACAGTTTTGTGTCCAGATCAAAAGCATGCAGAATGATACTAGTGAAGGAACAAACATAACCATGCTAAGAAACTGATTCTAATTGACCATATTTTTCTGTGGGCTATTACTAAGCAACTAACTCAAGTCATACCAATCCCAATGTAGTAGCAGTAGCATCACGGCAAAAAGTAACAATTGTAATTGAGATATCCACATAAAGCCATTTAGTTAATAGTAAGGCAAAACAACATGTCCAACAGAACCAATCACATTGTTTCTTTGGCTAAAGATGTTGTTGTCCTCCAAATCAATGAAAATTATGAGCCTGTGCAATGCCCACTTAAAAACACCAAAAAAAAACATCATGAGTAAACAAGAAAACTATATTAGCAGTAGCTTGAACTGGCCAAAAAGAATGCAATAAAGGGTAATGCAATATACCATATGCCAGTTTTTGGTAAAATTTCGGTCACATACACAGACAACTGTTTAGATTAACAGCACTACTGTTCTTTCACCATTAGTTCTTCAACCCATTGTTGGCCAACATGCAGCCCCTCCCTCCTGCGCTTGCCCCATCTCCGACAGCAGTGCTATCCTCGAGTCTGCCTACGCCAACACTGCTATGCTAAACAGGTTTTGGCCAGTGATATCATCGTCGCTTCTATGTGCCCCCACCCTTCCCCCGCCCATTAGACATTCTCCCTGCTGTCCATGGCTGGCAGCGTTCCCGGCTCTCCACCACCATGCCTCCCCCGCCCCTGCACCAGTTAGGCAGCGACCTCTAATGGTCTGGCGTGTTTGCCATGGCTCTCTCCTCTATTGCCAGTGATTGACAGTATCTCACCAGAAAAATCCCACCACCCCTAACTGCACCTGAATTTATGTCCAGACGACTGAAATCCAGGAGGTATGCACAACCAGAAACACGGAGCACAACAATCCCTCGATACTACAGAGGGATGGAGATATTGATGCGGACATTAGCCATAGAATCAAAGCAGGGTGGATCAAGTGTCGACAAGCTTCTGGCATTCTCTGTGACAAGAGGGTACCACAAAAGCTAAAAGGCAAGTTTTATAGAACGGCGATTAGACCGACTATGTTGTATGGAGCAGAATGTTGACCTACAAAGATTCGACATGTTCAACAACTGAGTGTTGCAGAAATGCATATGTTGCGATGGATTTGTGGTCACACAAGAATGGACCGCGTTCGGAACGATGATATACGTGATCGCCTAGAGGTAGCATCAATTGAAGAAAAGCTTATCCAACATTGGTTGAGGTGGTTTGGCCATGTCCAAAGGAGACCTCCAGAGGCACCAGTGCATTGTGGAGTCCTAAGCCAAGCTAATAATATGAGGAGAGGTAGAGGAAGACCGAAATTGACATTAGGGAGGCAATAAAAAGATATTTGAAAGCTTGGGATATACTTAGAGATCTATGTTTGAATAGGAGTGCTTGGAAAGCAGGTATTGAAGTGCTTGAACCATGACTAGGGGCTCTTGGTGGGTTTCAACTCTAGCCTACTCCAACTTGTTTGGGACTAAAAGGCTATGTTGTTGTTGTTGTTGACCAAAGAGCGCCTAAGCAAAGGAACACAAATGATGAAGGCGTCAAGAAGCATAATTCGTAAACAAACTTAGTATGTAGTACAACTGTAATCAGATGCGATACATATCAAATGCTGAGGTAATTTTATGATTTCACTCAGCAATCACACAAAATAGACAGCATCACCAAGTCATTAAGTAATTTCAAGTAAGCAAAGTAGATCACTCATCAGCAGAACACGGACCATTATTAGATAAAAAAAGGGACATGAGGCCATGCCGTCCGTAGCAGTAACCAGAAGATAACCAACCATACAACGTTCCTCAGTTGCACGAATATTTTTTGTGTCACCGCAAAAACAGCCAAGAAAGATAACCAGTCTCCAGATCCCTATATTTCTGTAATAAGCAACTACTCATAGAAGTCCCATCACTTCCAGTTCAGTAATAGCAGCATCACGACGAAAACTTCCAGCACTGCTACACGCACCCGAGCACCAGATTACCTCTTAAGGCGGAGATAGATCAGTATGACGGCAGCCGTGCCGGCGGCGCCGGCAGCCGCAGCCACCGCCATCCCCAGCCACGCAATATCCCCTTCCTTCAGGGTCTCAGCCGCCGGCGCAGCCTCCCTCTCCTTGGTGGTGGCGGCGGCGGCGGAAGCCTTCAGGGCGCTGATCTCCTCCTCGAGCTTGAGCTTCTCCTGGCGCACGGCATCCACCTCCTTGGCGAGCTTCTCGTGGCTCTCCTTGTCCAGCTCGTGCTCGCCCTTCTCGGCCTTGAGGAGGGCCTCGAGGCGGTCGACCTCCGTGCGGAGCGAGGCGACCTCCTTCTCGGCAGAGGCGGCGGCGAGCTCGGCGATGGTGACCTCCTCCCGGGCCTGCATGAAGACCCCCTCGATGCGGTGCGTCTCCTCGGCGAGGGACTTGTTCTCACGGCGGGCCTCGGCGAGCTTCGCCTCCAGGTCGAGCTTGGCGGCGCGGAGGTCCTTGATCTCGGCGCGGGCGGCGACGGCAGCGTAGGACATGGCGGCGGTGTGGGCGCCGGCGACCCCCTCTTCCTCCTCCTCCTCCTTCGCGACGCCGCCGTTAGGAGCGGGGTTCTCGGCGGCGACCGCGGCGTAGGACTTTGCGGGGTGGGTGATGGGGACCTGCTCCTCGTCCGCGACGCCGCCGTTGAGCGCGGCCTTCTCGGCGGCGGCGGCGGCGGTGGGGGAGGCGAGGGTTTCGCCGCCGTTCTCCATTGGGAGGCGGTGGTGGGTTTTGGGCTTTGGTGTTTCTGTGCGTGGGATTGCTGGGGCGGCGCGGCGCGGCCTGCGGGTGAGAAGTTATGGGGAAAGGTAGGGGGAGAGGAGAGAAAGGGGAGGCTTCTTTCTCCTTTTCTGCTGTGCTTGCTGAGGGGGTTGAGAAATATTTAGGAAGGCAGGTTCCGCCTCGCGTCAATGACGGGTGGGCTATATGCCCGGAGTCGCGGCGCGGCCGCACCTGTCAGTTACTGCTCGCCATCTGATGGGAGCGCGTGCATGACGGCAACGTTGGTGTGTTGACCTGGTGGGTCCACGGTGTCAGCGAGGCGGTGACTCTTTAGTGGCGAGGAAGTTGGTGCCAGTGGACGGCGTCACCGTCAGTGGCGGACCCATGATTTGGCAAAGAGTAAGGGTGTGTTTAGATTCCAAAAATTTTTGCGTAGTACCCGTCACATTAAATCTTGCGGTACATGCATAGAGTACTAAATGTAGACGAAAAAAAAACTAATTGCACAGTTGGGTGAGAAATCGCGAGATGAAACTTTTGAATCTAATTAGTCCATAATTAGACACTAATTACCAAATACAAACGAAATGCTACAGTGAGCCAAAATCCAAATTTTTTTGATCTAAACGCCCCCTAAATCAGCGGCCAAAAACTCAAAGCTACAGCATAGTCTATAAGACCATATATATATAGTTTGTAAAAAAGTTCTTCAACTATATAATTATTAATAGCTAAGAAATATCATGGAACATTGGAAAATAAATACCTAGTGTCCAGTGACGCCCCTAATTTGGTGCATTCACATCGTCCACTTCTTCGTCCTCGATAACAACTCCTAATAAAAAAAGAACAAGCAAAAAGGTTAATAAAAAAATAAGCAAGTAAAGGTTAATAAGAAAAGAAGCAACTTATGTAACATACTAGGTAACTTCTTTCGGGTCTTTAATTCTTGAAAATGCCGTAAGATGTCATCATTTTGGATGGTTGCAAACACATCTCGCTCAACATAACATACCATCTTATAATTCAACCACTCATCCGCTATTTTATTCCGAGACTCAATCTTAACAATCTTCATAGCTGAGAAAATCCTTTCTACTGTGGCGGTTGCAACAGGTAAAATCAAGGCCAACTCAATGAGGCGATAAACCAATAGAAAGGTTGTGTGCCTTTCAGTTTGAACCATCTTTATAGCAAGTTCACCAAGGTCAGTACAATTTGCAAAGGAAGGATCAGCTCTCACATCACTAATGAAGTTATCAAGTTGTTGCGGAAGCTGATCATGATCATATTGGGAGAAATCATCATCATAAATCTGAGCAAGTTCAATTAGTTTCTCATGGTCATAGTTGGTAAAGAAATTCCGTGGATCTAAACATGCAATGCATCTCAATAATTGGGTAGACCTTTCAGCAAACCGATTATTTAATTCAACAATAACTTAGTCATGCACCACATTGAAGATCTCATTTTTGAAGTGATGGTAGTAGGTTACCTGCTGCCCTCCATGGCCCCTTGAACGACCTCGAACAGTTACGTTCTCCTCCATATTTGGGACAATGATGTGATGGATTGCACAAAACTCCTTTACCTCCTCAAACAGCTCATCCCAACTATGCTGCCTTACATCATTAATTTTATGCAATGTGATCCCAACCAACCCAATAGCCCGAATAATATTCTGATTTTTTCTTTGCAAGCATTGTGATAAATCATTTGTTATGCCCAATAATCTAATCTTAAGATGCAATATAAACACAAACTCAAAATTCTCCATTTATAACAGCAAGTCTAAAGCTGTTGTTCTCTTATCTCCAACACCATCTTCAGTAACATTTTCTAATACCTCTAAGACTGAATCCCACATATGGAAAAGGTGATACGAGGTTTTATGATGAGAACCCCATCTTGTATCACCTGCTCTTGCAAGGCTAGTTTCTTGATTTTTCCCTCAAACACTAAAAAATTAACAATTTTCCAATTGATTTACAATGTTGCCATGGTGGTTTTGGGCCAACTGATCTCTTCTCTTACAAGAAACATTGACAGTGTTGACAATCAAAGAGGTGATGTTAAAGAAATTAAATACTGAACCACAACACTGTGCTACTGAGACAACCACTAATTGCAATTGATGTGCAAAGCAATGTATATAAAAAGCATATGGATTCTCATCTAGTATCTGTCTTTGCAGCCCATAAAATTGTCATCTCATATTAGATGCCCCATCATACCCTTGTCCACGGACTCTAGACATAGACAAACCATGACGAGCAAACATACCATTCAATGCTTCCTTCAGAGATGATGAAGTTGTATCAGCAACAGACTTCATAGCAAGGAACCTCTCAATAACTTGTCCTTGTGCGTCGACAAACCTACAGTCACATAGAGCAACAAAATCAGCAATGAAGTTCAAACAAGAATTCAACAACAACAACAAAATACATATCTCATTACCTCAATGCAACAGCCATTTGTTCCTTGATTGATGCATCCCGTGCCTCATCAACAAGAACAACAAACTTGCTATCCCCAATTTCAGCAACAATTGCTTTGGTGGTCTGTTCTGCACAAGCTTTGCACAAGTCTTTTTGAACTTTAGGAGAAGTCATTGTGTTGTTCTTAGCAACACTAGCAAGTAACCTTGCAGCTTTTGCATCTTTTCCCTTATACCAGTTTAGCATTTCTAAAAAATTTCCCTTGTTGCTAGAGTGAGATGACTCATCATGTCCACGAAAAGCATGTGCTTGCAATAGAAGAAATCTTACAACTCCCAATATAATGAGTAATCGACCTCTATATTCTTCTTCTTCCTTCTGACTTCCCCTAGAAATTACATGTGATACACTTTGTCTCTGATTTATGTAACACTCATAGTCCTTTCTTGCCTTATTGTGAAGCATAGAATTAGCATGATCATCAAATAATTTTGGTCCATCCTTCCAATTAGTAAACCCATTTGTTGTGAAGGATTCAACACCAAAGTTATCAACTCTCGATGGTTTAAATAGATAACAATAGAAGCAAAAGGCAGCATCCTTAGAGACACTATATTCCAACCAAGCACAATTTGTGAACCATGTATCATGAAAACTCCTATTGTGACCGTATATTTTCCTTTTGGGATATGCATGACCTTTTGGTTGACATGGACCTAACAAGACATACAACCTTTTTGCATCATTCCTAATGTTTGGATGCATTTCCTCAATTGGTTTTCGACAACCTAGATCTACAATAATATCTTGAGGATTAAGGACATGATTGGAATCGCCCTCCTCCTCCTCCACAAAATCAATATTTTCATTTCTAGTTTGTTCTACTATAGGCAAACTAGTTGTAGATGTCCTTACTTCCTCAGGTTGGTTTTGTGCTTGTGCAGCACTAGCTCTAGTCCTAATTGTCTCCTGTTTTGTACCTTGAGATTGCAATGGAGGAGCTTGAGATTGCGGTTGTTGTTCAGCAGCACCCTGTTGCTCAGGAACTCGAGAGAAATATGAAACTAAAGTCCTAGTCCTCTTCATCTTGTACACTGTAATGAGAAATTAGAATCAAAGGGTTGAAATTGGGAACTTGGAAATTGGAAATTTGGAATTAAATCAGTTTTAGATCCAAATCTATTGCAACTTGTAAGGAAGGAGGCGGTCATTGGTTAGGGTCAGCCGGCAGTAGGCGGGCGCCCGGCTGACTGGCTGAGGAAGGAGCCGCCGGCCATGCCGCCGTGGAGCGCACAGCGGAGGGGGCGAGGCTGTGCCACCGTGGAGCGCCGGAGCCGGAGCGTGGAGGCCGGAGAGCGGAGCCAGAGCGGAGGGCCGGTGGGCATAGCCGTGTAGGCTGCCAGCTCCACCGGCCATGGAGCGGCGGCCGTGACTCCCCTGCGTGACTCGCGAGTTTCACGATGACTCAAGGAGCGAGCAAGCGAGCGCCGAGCGGCTCTCTGTCTCTGTTGCCCTACTCCTGGCCTGGGCTGCCTGTGTTGGATTGCTTGATGGGCCAAAAAATTGAAGACTTGCTCCCTTGTTACATGGGCCACGACTAGGGCCATGGCCTGGGCTGCCTTAGTGCTGGGTCCGTGTAACACACTCATTGTTACATTGTACAGTTTTTGCTAAAACACTGTATGAGCATCATACTTGTGTGTACATGTGTGTAATATAGGGTATAAATCAACGTACGGCACTTGAAACGTTCATCAGCAACACGAAACAAATGTTATATTTCATGTCGCTTTATATCGTTTAGGGTTCTAAGTGATTTTTTATCGGACAAAAATGCTATAGAACGTGTAGTACGAACTTCGTAGGCGACGATAAAATACGTGCGGTCGGAGATGGGATTCGCTAGCTAGTGTATCAAGTAGCTTGGAAAAGGAATTCAACGTGAAACCGTTTGAAGCTTAGTCATTTCGCGTAAGTTTGAAAATAGGTCGACGAAGCCATGTTCGGCAATTTTTGTAGAACGATCGGGTTAAGAAATGGTGAGGTGTCTTGGCTTAGTTCGATAGCCCTAGGTACCCGCTTGAGGATAGAACGACTGGGTTGGCTTTCGGATCATCGAATTAGTTGTTGTAGCAGCTTTAAAAAGCGTGCAAGTCACGTGTTGGGCAGATGCCAGCACCTGGGCGCGGTCACCGCCCGGCTCTCGGCGTTGCCGCGTTGACCGCCTGTCACGCCTGTGCGCACACCACGCGTTTAGCTCTGCGCGGCCGTCCCCGGCCTCCTGCTGCCGCGTGTTGGGCCCGGTAGGCCTGCCTGCTCTGCCCCTTCCCATCGTGTCCACCTGAGGCTGCTGCTCGCCATCGCGTCGCGTCGCTGGCACTGCGCACCGTCTGGCATTGCCGCACAGCTACTGCTCTCATTGACATTCGGCTGTGCGCGCGCGTGGGCTTGCCCTGCTTGCCTCGTTCTCACATTTGCGCGCGAGGCCGCGCCAAAGGTTCCCGTCATGTCGCCTAGAAGGTCGCCGGCCGGCCGAGCCACGCCAAAGC